TATTATGAAAAGCATCTACAAAGGACCAAAGAATTATTTAGGAAGAAGGGTGTGAAAGGGAAAAGAGAGGAAGCCCTTGTTGTTTCCCATTTATTAGTATAACTTTCTTGGACTCAGATTTAGAAATCAACATCTCTTGACCTGTGTCCCTAAAACATACACACAAGTATTTTGAACTTTCACATGTACTCAAAATAAGCCAGTGGTGGACTTTTTACTGAAAATGGCCATTAAAATCTTTACCCTTTTCAGCAACAGACAATGCAAAACTCTGAAGCAATTTTAACCAATCAGTTCACACCTACATAAATACTACAGGTAAGTTAAACGAAAACTATTTTTCACTTTTTACTAACCTGATAGATAGCATATGTGGCACATGGCACCCCAATGGAACATCAGAGGTGAGGAATATTTTTCCAAGACTTTGGTTTTCATTGCCATGACAGTATATGTATTTTTGCTTGTGAGAAAGGCAGTTACCCTGAGGAAATTCTTAGGCAGAAGGAGGTAAGTTTCTCAGATATTTATAGCCAAAATATTTCAAAATATAGGTAGCTATATTTATGCTTGGTACTTATTTTAATAAACACTAAGCAATGCTGCCCACAAAGAAAATTTCAGTATCAATTTAGAAAAAAAAAATTCTTTCACCTCTGTTGCATCGTTTTTCTGTTGTAAAAGAACAGATAAAAAATTTTAAGACATTGCAAAATATGTTACAGGCTGCAGGCTTACTTAGAATTTGCCACTTCGAATCTTTTCTACACTGATTAAAAATTAAAAATCTACTGTTAGCAAAAAAGATAATGAATAACCTCAGGCCAACTTTGGGGGAAACAGAAGCTGGATGAGGAACAAAAACTTGCTTGGTCCTAATCCCATGATTCACATGAGCATCATAAATACATAATGTTCCCCTGAAGTATCACCAAACCCAGCAGATAAGAAGTCAGTACCTCCATATCCTGGTCTAGCATAATTTCCCAGGTCAATCTTTTATTAGCCAGTTAAGTTTTTGTGTTTACTTTTTAAGATTATTTCCTAACAATGCCTTTGATATCATTATTCTTATTGAATAAGAAGAACAACTGATATGTAGGCATCACCAAGACAAAGAGAGGACTGGAATCTCATCTTCCAATGACAGAACTTAGATAGGTTGAAATCTGAAGATAACCTCTGGTGATAAACTGATTTCTACAATTTCCTAGCCTTGGCCTACCAAGGGCCTGCCTCTAGGATATAAGGAGAAACTTTTGGTTCACTATTGTCAAGGTGTTTCTGTACACAGGAGGTATCTGGGCAAAAGGAATTCAATATTAAACATTCAACAGACCTCTCCAGGTAAAATAGAATAACCGAAGACCCCCTTTTTGCACTAATTGCAATTTCTGATTTAGAGCCCAGGAAAGCTCTCTCTAAACACATATCCTCAGGCACTCACCTATAACAGGACAGACTCTGAGATGTTTACAAATGAATGCAGGGATTTATTTTGCAGCCAAACGGTAAATGCCACAACAAGCTATGAAAGTTTTCTTTCTGGAACAATAGCCAACTGCAGGCTAAAATGAGGCTTCCCATATTCTCAGCCAGAGGGGCTCTGGGAGGGCTGAGTCCATGCTTCCATCTCTGAAGGTGGATCACAGACATGAAGAGATGTTTCATAAAACAAACACTGGGCTGCAAGTCAGGGGACTTCAGTTCTAATTTTAATTCTGTCCCCAACCAGTCATTTCACCATGGCAAAGCAACTTAAGCAACTGAGTCTCACTTTCTTTCTTTATAAAAAGGAATTAGGGGTATGGTGGGAAGGAAGCAAACGCATATTGAATGTCTACTATGTATAAACACTATGTGAAATCTATGACCAACAACCCTGCAATGAGGGTCACATTAACTTGATTTTACAGACGAGGAAATGGAGGTTCTAAAATAAAAATTACTTGACTGGAGTTACATATTCTGGAAAAGATAATAGAGGCAGAATTCCTAGTAGAGAGCGGGAATCAGGGGCTGACATTCTACCATGTTCCCTTTGGAACTCCAAGGTGACCAAGAATTCTAAACTGGAAGCTAGCTTTCCAAGACACTGTGAAGGTATATACGTCAATATAAACATAAAAACATACGTTACAGTTTGTTAGAATGGTGTATAATTTAAAAATATTTATACATAAGAACTTGGGGCCTGAGCTCCTCAAATGTTAGAGACAGTTCTGAATGTTAAAATGCACTTATGTTGGAGAGGAATTATAATTATTAAAGATAGGTACAGAACAGCCATATATACCCGACACTTTTTCAGGTTTTTAATGTCTACACAAAGTTCTTTCTCATATATAATTTCACATGATTCTGCCAACCATAACTTTGGAAGGAGTTATCACTCATGTTTTTCAGATACGGACACTGTAGTCAACGCCTCTGGGGCCTGTGTTACCTCCCCTTGTCCCACTGATTTTAGCGGCAGGGGCATGGAGAGTTCCGTGTGAGCTCAGACTTGCCTTATATGACCGGTATCCAACCTCAAGCACCTACCATGCTCATATCACAGCTCCTTCTCTCCTAGGATCTCCATGCCCCATCTCCTTAATCCACATGCCAGTTGAGCCTAGAAAGGTGGGAATTATACCCTTGGGGGCAGAACCCTCAATCAACAAAGGAGGACAGAAGCCAGAGGGTAAATGGCTCCTGTCTTTTTGACAGGTAAATTTGATAAGCAAATTTGACAGGAATTCTGTACACTTCAGAGAAGTCTCCATGGAATCGAGCTTCTTCTGAAGCCTCCGTTGCCTACAGAAGTGATTTCAGTAACACATACTTATGCGTCTTCCTTCTTTGTCTCACTCTCCTCACTTCTCATTCCTTTTTCTAAAACTACTTGCATCCAAGTCCTTGTCTCAGGCTCTGCTTTGGGAAAGTAAAACGATGAGAGGCATTGAAATTTCAGATTGAGGGGAGGTGACCTGCACAGAGCCAACTCCCTCAGTTCTTCTGGTTCTTAATCTAATGACTCTCTTTTATCTTCTACTTTCACTTGTGCACACAGGTTAAAAAACTAATTTCTACCTTTTAACAATATTCCAGACATGAAATAAGTTTTTAAAAAATACACGCTTTAGCACAAAGTTAATAATAAATGACCACCATCACCTTCGCTGGGGGTTACACAGATATTCTGCTAGGTCACCATTAAACAAACAAACAAACAAACAAAAAACCTCGGCATTTTTCAAAATTCTGAAGTATTACATTTTGCTTTGCTGGTGTCAGACAAGTAAATTAGAAATGTTAAGCTTCACTCCAAGTTGTACAGATGAAAAAGTTGAGGTTTTAGGACTTTCCAGCGTTATATTTTTAACTACTTTTGGAACCAGAATCAGAATCTTTTCTACTCCAAGAACACTCCAAGCTTTGTCTACCAAATCTGTTCAATGGCAGGGTTGCATATTATCCTCAGTGAAGATCACTGGCCTGGAGGCTTATGGTAGGCAACTTTTATTTATTTTTTATTTTAACATTTCTCCCTTTTCCATTGATTGCACCTCACGTTTCAACACTCTTGAACTCTCAGTCCATGCACTTCAGGTCTAACTGACCCATCAGTTCTTACTTCCAGAGCTCAGAACATGACATGTGCTGACCAATTCCTGTATTCTTCTCCCTGGCCACAATAATTGGCTCAGAGACTGGAGAGAGACCTTAGCCTGGCCAATCAGAGTGAATATTGACACTTTGATGGGTCCACTAAGAAACAGCTACTCTTTTCCATTGGAGAGCTAACCTAGTCATCTATAAGTCTTCAGTGCCTGGTGGCCATCTGCCACCACACAGGAAGAACTTGACCGAAAATGAAGCCAATAAAGCGGAGAGCATAGCACAGAGATGGGTGGAGACAGACTACTGATGTGACACAGACCTAGTCTTCCCTGAATTTAGGTTTGCCACTGGACTTTACCGTCTCAGGAGCTCATACATTACTGTTTCATCTTCTTTCAAGCTTCTGCCACTTAGAATTCAACAAGTCCTACCTGAAACAAGCTCTGTACTCAAGCATTAAAGAAACTCAGTGCAGAACTTCTCTGAAGAAACAAGTAATTGTTTTCCACTACCAAGGAATAAGCTAGAAAGTCAAGAAAGAGAAACAAAGCTAATCAAATCTTGGCAGAATCCTTTGTCTCAGCTTCAGAGAGCCTCAGGAATGAGGTATTGAAACAAGTCTCTTTATGAATCCAAAATGCGGCAAGCCTCGGACAAACTCCATCACCTTTCGTGTAGAGAACACTAACTTCACAAACACTGTTTTCATCAGCTAGGTGCTTCCATTCAAAATCCAACTGCAACTAGAGTTCAGAGGAAGAATCTTAGATTGGGAATTCCTTTTGCTCATTTATTTTTCCTTTTGCTAAAAATTACATAGCAGCGTTAAGAATCCTGCTTTTACATTTGTGAGCTCTTAGAAAGGCTTCTAATCATTCTTTTACCCTCTGATAAGCTGAATAACAGGAACTGGAGAGGTAGATGGGAAAAAAAGCTGACAACAAATCAAGAAACTTGTCTTCGGCGACACGGATGAGAAGGAAACAATAAATTGTACTTGTTTTTCAAGGGTTTTCCCCTTCACTCCAGAAAAGTCACCATCACATACTTCAGATATAATGTTTTAAAGACAGGGAGGCAAGTTTCAAGCATGAAACGCGGGCAGGCTTGTTGTCAATGGTGCCTCAGGAGTGTGAGAGCCTAGGACAGTCTCTGACTATGGAAAGAACTGGGGAAGAGGAACGTGAGTGGGGACAAGTTTACCAGATGATCCACCACTGAGGAGGAATGAGGACAGGTGCTGGCCCAAGGATAGAGTATAAATATAGGTCTTCAATCCTTTGTCATCTCTTAAACACACACGCTGTGGAGACCACCCTCCCTCTAGTTTTCTGTCATACTTGGAATACCTGAGGTCACTACATTTGGCTTTTGGATGTGACACACAAACTCACCTGATGAATTCCACAGAATAGTACTGAATAGGGGCACTTCCTTCACTCTCTCCAGGTTTCCAGGATAGGGCCACCTCGGAGTCAGAAACCACAGTGACGTGTGGCTGTTGGGGTGCCGTCGGAGGCAGGCAGGAATCTAGGCAGGACAGCAAACAACTGGTTGGCTTGTGATCTTTGCTACCGAAGTGGTTTAATATATATTTTAAAAATTGTGCTTCCTACAGCCTAAACATCTCTATACAAAACAGCCTCAAAATCCGAACCAAAGAAAAAAATAATCACTATGTAGGGTTCAAGTCAATGAGAGCTAGTCTTCCCTTCCCCCAGCCACCCTGTCTGGAAATCCAACTAAATTATGTTCAGACCACTGACCCTGGAACACTCAATGATCTGATCTTAACACCCTTTAAAACCTTCAATCACCTCCTAATAGCATTTCATCTCTGTTTGCATGTCAGAATTGATATTTACCTACAAGGAAAATTAAATGCCTAAACACTTGCCTTCAGAGTGTGTGTGTGTGTGTGTGTGTGTGTGTGTGTGTGTGTGTGTGTGTGTGTGTGTGTTTATGTTCTCCTGATCATCAGAATAAATACCAATGGTAGGATATTTGGGAAACACCTTCATGTGTAAAGACGTAGGAGTCACCCATGATTCTCTCATCCCAAGGTAACTGCTATTACTATTTTTATATCCAGACTTTCATATATCTCAGCCTTCATTTATACTATTGCTTCTACCAGAAACATTTTTTCTGCCTTCTCTTCCTAGCAATAACCAACGCCGTTTTCAAAATTGGGGCCGAAGATAGAATTCTTCCTGAAACCCTCCCTGAGTCTCAAGGTGGAGGAAGCACTCCTTCCTGAGTGTTCCAGAGCCAGCTGCACAGGCTCCCACCCCAATGAACCCCTTGTGAACAATGACACGTGATCCGAGCACTCTTGTCCCCAGTGTCCAGCATGGTGCCACCTCTATGAGCCTTTGTTGGATTCTCTGCTCCGACTCCCCTTCCTCACCTTCTTAATTCCTACTCGCTGTCAGATCTCCACTTAGTAGTCATCTCCTCAGGGAATTCTTAGCTTACCCTGACATCGGGTCTTCCTTTGTACATTCTTACAGCACAATAGGAAGCACTTATCACAATCTGTGACTACACATTAATTAGATAATGTCTTGACCCACCCACAGAGTTCTGAGAGGGCAGAGCCGTGTTCACCACTAAATTCCAGAGCCTACTACAGTGCCTGGCACACTGTATAGGTCCTTGTTGATTTATACTGAATGAAGGAATGAATGAAGAGCACCCATCACTTTCTTATTATTAATGAATTAAACCCATTTACCTTGGGGCAAAGTGGTAACATGTCGAGGAGAGCTAAGTCGCCCTTTGCCCATCAGGCCGTAAGCTGCTACGCTCACTCGATATTCAGTGCCTGGTTTCAAACCTCCGATCACTTCCTCCTGTCAACGACCAAAGAGGAAGGGTGTCAATGATCAGAAGTTCTTTTGGGACAAAACAGACCATTTTCATGAGGGTGGCATCTGGAAGCCCCTGTAAAATTCCTTGGGACTGAGATCGTTTTGCTTTCTCGAAGACTGGACAGGTTTTAAAATTTGCAAAGAGGAAAACAACCATGACATATTTCCCAATACTAAATAATTACCCTTTATTGGAATCTATACAATAAGTGGCTAAAGGTGGGGAGCATATACAACATGGATTCACTGGACAGAGGGATGATTCATGTCTCAGGCGGGATAGGATGGGATGGTGTGTGATTCCATCACACTACTCAGAAGGGCACGCAATTTAAAACTTAGAATTGTTTATTTCTGGAATTTTCCATTTAATATATTAAGACCTCAGTTGACCATGGGTAACGAAACCATGTAAAGCAAAATCTCAGAAAAAGGAAGCCTGCTATCATCTTCCTTAGGTAAACTCGTCTACTACTCCCTTAGCTTCTAGCACCACCTTCAAGTGACACTTTCTGAATCCGCATCTCCAGCCCTGACCTGCCTCTTGATGTCCAGACCTGGGTTTGTGACAGCCTCTTGAACATCTCTACCCAACAGCTAAGAAGCGACTCAAATTCAACATAACCAAAGCTCAACTAATCATTCCTCCTTCTCCCACCAAAAACAAAACAAAAATTGCTTCATCACTTGTGTTCTCTCTCTCATTACTCAGACCAGAAATTCTTGACACTTTCTCTCTGTTCACTCCTCCCTGTCCACTGTTCAGTTACCGATACAATTACTAGCAGTCTTTCATTTCACTTGAATCTGTTCACGTCATTTCATCCTCAGAGACATTTAAGTCCAAATCTTCATAATTATGACAATGGGCCCTGATGCTCCCTGCCACCAATACTGCCGGCGCCTCCAATGTAGACTCCACACTGCTAGAGTTACCTTCCCAAACACCAAAGCCGATCATGTCACTTCCCACTTTAAAACCCCTTTAGAATAACATATTTGTGTCCCCATGTTTATCCTTCTAACATCATCTTGTGCCACCTCCCTTCCTTGCATTCCATATTCCAGTCATACTTAAGAACTTGGCAGAGCTCAAATTTATGCCATTCAATTCCTTGCCTCTGGGCCTTTGAACCTGCTGCTCCCTCTACATGAAATGCCCTTCTCCCCACTCTTGCCTGGCTCACTCCTGCTCATCCTTCATGACTCAGTTCAGCTGAGACATTACCTCATTTCTCTGACCCCCAGCCCCCAGTCTGGTTAGGCACCCCTCCTGTATGCCTGGTGTCCTTGGTATACCTCAATCTTACACTCACCTTATATTGTAATTGTCTGTTTATTTGTCACCTTCTCACCACCTGCTCGAGGGAAGCAAGTTCTCATTCCTCTGGCATCCCAAAGCTTTGCATAGTATTATCAGACACGTAGCAAATGCCCAAGCAACGCTTTTTGATGAAGGAATAAATGAACTAGTCAATGAACAAAAGAAAGAAATTAAACCAAGATGTCCAATATAAGCAGATTACCTCATCAAGAACCAGCTCCTACTCCTGGCGCCTGCATCTTAATTAGATACCTTTGCCCCTAGCTCTGGAGGTAGTAACTCCAGATACAGGGCTGACTTCCTCCTACCCACCTCCCTCCGGCCACTTTCATATGTCTTTCAGAGCTGCTCCTGTCTCTCACTTCCTCTGAATCCTTACCTGGAGAGTGTCTATCTCCAATCCTCCCTTCCTCTTCCCTCTCCCCATTCCCACTCTATCCTACATGCAGCTGCACAAGGGCTCTTTGCTGAACATATGGACCTGCTTTCACAGACCCCCTCCTGCTCTAATTCCCTGCATCTGTGCATCCTAGTTCCACCATCTGTCCCTGGTTTCATGGCAAGTTGGGTGGTTAAGAGACTGGAGGTAGCAGGTGGATACAAGACTCTGTTCTCACTTCTCCCAACGGCCACTCCCAGGCTTTTCTCATGGAAGCAGAAATACATATCCAAACCCACAGAATGTTCTCAAAGTCTTTTGCTTTAGAATTCTTTCTCCCATGAATTTATTATGTTGTATGAACAACAGGGGTAATGGTGTGGTTTCATAGATTATTATAGATATTAACAATGAGCTAATACCAAATACAGCAACCATTAGTTACCATGTACTATTCCTCTCTTCCAGGAACACATATAGCCTGGTTTAATTCTTCATTCAGTCCTATGAGGTAGGTATCACTCTTGTCTTCATTTACAGAAGAGAAAAGGGAATTCCTGAGAAGTTAATTATTTGCTCAAGGACGTACATTTATTACGTGGCACACTGGGTATTTGAAACCTGCTTTGTTTGACTCCACGCCTCAAGTTCTACCTTGATAATACATGTACAAAAAATACTGGATAATATTTAAGTCTACAAAACATATTTACCATAAATACTTACTGAAGAATAGATTATTATTTTATCTATAAACACGGAAATTTATGTTTTGGATATTTAAAAGTTGGAAGATTAGCGCTACCTTTAGCCCAGGCATATTCTGAGAGGTAGAGAGTGACCCTCCTAGAAGCCAACTGTCTCCAGTCTTTTTCTGTTTCTGTCCTGCGCTGACAGCCTGGTAAGTCATCATAAGAGAATGAAATCAAGAGGACTGAACAGCAGGAGCCAGGAAAAGAAGGGTTGGATTCAATGACTTAACTGTCACTTCCTCCCGTGGCATCATTCCTCCCAAATGAAATCTCTCATTATATTGTGACTTGTGATAACCCTTGGATTCCTTAGTAAAATACCACACAATCCACAACTCTTTATATTTCTGTTCTTAAATATCTTATAACCAACCACCTTTTGTTTTCTTTGGCAAAGTTGGGTGCTTTCCTGCAAAATAACCCTGCTTTGTGTTTGCCCAGCCCTTTGTGAAATGAAAAACTCTTTCTAAAAGTTGCCTCCTTTGTCTTCTCAACACTACCCATGTATGTCATGCAATCAGAAGATTATATCTACAGAAGAGAAAAGCAAGGCCGGCTGGTTCACTGAGCCCAAGTAGAAAGCTCAAACGACTTTGAATCAAGTGAGTTACTCCTCAAGACTCTTGCCTCCTTCACAGATCACCAGAAACAACAAATCTTACGATCGGTATAATCATAACAGTTTACATGTATATACCATTCTGAAATGTATGACATCTTTGCACACCATTGTCACAGTTATTCCTCACAATGGTCCCAAGAAGTCAGTCTTACTATCTTTGTTTTTACAGATGATAAAACTAGACCTGGAGAGTTTATTTAACTACCTTGGGGACACGAATGGCTCTACTTTCCTTCATAAAACACATCATAACTTAATATGCTTCCAACTTCCTGAGTCCCAGACAGATCATGTCAAACTCTCAGGCTAACAATTCGTTTTTCAGATGTCCTATTGCTTTTTCCTTGTCTACAGTGCCTGTCTCATTTTCTCCATTCACAAATTACGACTGTATGACACATTGTCCCTCATATCTATGCTTTCCTCTTTTATAAGAGAACCCCCATATTGCAGTTGGGACATGGCCACTCAAACACTACATTTCCCAGCCTTCCTTGCATCTAGGTGTGGCCATGTGACTAAATTCTGTCCAACAGGATATGAGAGAAAATGCTGAGGGCAATTTGAGTTATCCCTTCATAGGAAGGATATGTTCCCTTTCTTTTTTTTTCTCATCTATGGACTAAAATGTGAAGGTGACAATAAGTGAATGTGGACCATGGGGAAGAGGGTTACAGGGGTTGACAGAACTATAAAATGGAAGGATCCTGGGTCTCTGACATAGGGAAGCCATCAGAAGAGCTCGAAGCTGGTTATATCCAGACAGTTATATGAAGGAAACATGAATGCACCTTTTGTTAGAATCACTGTTATTTTGGGTTTGGGGAACTGCTAGACTTTGACCCTGATTAATATTTGACCCAACATACAAAAACAACCCAGATAGTTATGTAAAAGGAGCTCCTGAAAAAATGGAACTGTTCCTTACTGAATAGCTGTTCCCTTTGCATTGATGAAATCATGCTGAATGGTTCTGAATTTAAATATCTGATGCTAATTTCAGATCCCACCTTTACCCCCTTCCATGCTGCATTTTCTCCTACTGCTGGAAACCCAGGTCATGTTTCCAAAATTGAAGCTAAATGTTGTCCTGTTCACTAGTCCAGACAAGTAACTACTACACTGTGAGAGCATCCAGATAATAGGGCTGAGAAGAGGCATGAAGTTGGAGAGCCCTGGACCAGGAGCCAGGAGACCCAGGTTCTGGGCCAAATAGCTATGCCACTTAACATCTCTGGGCTGAAGCTTTAACACTAAAATTCTACAATTTTTCTTAAATAACCTTTATTGGTAACTAGTAACCTTGGATTCAACTTCACAGTTGACTGTACAAGTCAGGGCTGGGCTTTGGCTGCCTTAGTGGAAGTTGAGAATAGCTAGCATCATTAGGTGGAAGGCACCAGAAACTAGAAAAGTGGTACTTTCCAAACATTCTTCTTTCAGGGGTCCTGAGGAAGGCTAGCAGGCCTGAGTAGAGGGAGAAGTTGGAGGAATCTCCATTTCCTGAGTGGTCACAGAATGTTAGAGAGTGTCTTCCAGGGATTCACAGGAGGGACAGCATTGGCTTTGGGACAGGACAAATCTTTCTTGTACTGGTCTGTCCTGTATATTGCAGGAGAGTCAGCATCTCTGAAGCTTGTTCACTAAAATGCCCATAACATATCTCCATATGCCCTACAAGGTACAAAGGAACCCCCAGTTGGGAACCATTACTAGTCAACCCATTCATTGTACATTCAAAGAGAGATGCCGAAGGGTTTAGTGACCTTGCCCAAGGTTACCCTTGCTCTGGTGACAAAGCTGGGACTATGCAATCATGATCCCTGGTTAAGTGTTCTCTCCCTAACCTTGGATAAGGTCTAAATAGAATCACCGTGCTGGGTCAACCAGACCAGAGGACTTCAAAGCAGAGTGCTGTGCATCCTCCTGGGGAACAGGACAATTCACTGAGATGCTGGAAGAAAACAAACTTTCTATTTCTATTTTATCGCCTCCTTTAAAAATCTGTGGGGTTTTATAACGTACATAATATATTAGTAGAGTAGCATATGTATAATTTATAAATACATAAATATACATATATTGGTACATGTTCAAATATTTTAGCTGATGTGTGCATGATCAAAAAGTGTGTAGACCACCAGTTTAAACATCCTTTTCTATTTCTAACTTAAAAAAAATATGATTTGTTTTACCATTTGTTTTTCCAGGATGAAATCTGTAGGTCGTTCTTTTAAGAAAAAGATTAAATGTCAAATGCCAACCAAATCAGAAGTCTCTATGTAGGTAGATCATCAAAGAATGCATCAGAATTCCACATAATTAGCCAGGTTATTTTGGTCATTTCGTCATTTAAATAAGACTAACCATTTGTCAACCCGATCTTCAGTTTGGCATTCAATCCAGAAAGTCAATTAACCAGTTTTAGGTGACTGGTCCTGTCTTAATGGGAGGGTCTGGAATGGTTAGAGGAAATAAGGAAAATAGAATGAAAAGGGGTAGGGGGAACCTACCCTCACAGTGGTACTCACTTTAAAAAATATTTTCTCTTCTTTTCAATTTTTTTCACCTGGTTTTGGAACAGAGCTTAAATTATTTCAGCCTTTCAAAATGTTCCTCTTAACCTCACTCTGCCATGTGAGATGAAGCAGCACATATAAGAATAAATGTGGCTTCTTTCTAAACGATTAACGATGCACCTGGTACGCTGTGCAGACCTGCTTAGGCTAGAAGTGCACTCTCTCCAATGGGCCTTAATCGGGATGAGGGAGATGCAGGAAAATGAACATTCGGATGAAAAGAGACCCCCTGAATCCTGGACTGCGGCAAAGGTTTCACTTTTCTAAAGCATACTTAGAAAAATCACCTGATGATCAGATTGTCCCTGGAAAGGAGAAAAAAACAAAACAACACGAAAAGGAAAGGAAGACTTGCTGGAGTAAAATGAACCTATATTCTTCTGCCATGTACAGCCAAAGGCAGCAAACCCACATCTTCAGCACAAACCCATAGTGTGAACTGTGTTGACCACTCGCTCAGTTCTTATTCCATGCCAGGCATGGTGCTGGGGCTCCATGGCCACCACCTCGTTTAGTGCTCACAGCATCTTTATGCTGCAGCATGATATGTTCCGGGACAGAGGTTCCCAAACTCTGTTCATGGTACCGTTAGTGTCTCAGTAATATTTTTTCAGCACCTCTAATACAAAAGAAATACCTAACAGTTCCATTTATTCAGCAGCTATACTCAAACGACTTGGTAGTACTAGTTCACACAGGTGCTATGGTTTCCTTTGAAAAGTCCAAGCTTTCCACAGCGCCCCTGGGAGTTGGCTGTAGAGATTAGAGCATCCTGGCATACAGTTTGGATCTAGAGATACACTACCTATGACATAGATGCTATTTGAATCCTTTTCTTCTTGATGAGAGAACTGAGAACCAGTAAGGTTACCCAGCTGGTTAGATGTAATACAAGAATCTGAATACAAGTTGTCTGAATCCAGAGGCCACTCAGGTACACCAGACCCTCCACTCCCCTCTTCCTGACTCACTGCCTTTACAACTAGTCATTATTCCCTCTCTCCATGCTGAGCATTCTGTACTTCCCCACCCCCACCCAAACACACAGCAGCACATGGGCATGTAGGCACACATGCATGCTCATTCCCCTGGCTCGAACCATTCCTTTCTATTTGAATGCCCCTCCCTCTCCTCTGCCCTTCCAGAAACTGTCCCTGCTTCAATTCTCAGCCCCAACTTTACCTCTTGATCGCTTGTTCCTAGTAGTCTCTCCCTCTTCAAAACCTCAGTCTTTTAAGTGGCATGTTAATGACATCTGGTCTCATGTTGCTCTCTAGTTGTTTTATCAGTGTGACTGTGCTTTTCCCAATAAGACTAAAAGCTGCCTAAAAATATGGGCTCTGTGATTTTTCTGTATAACTATGAAAGTTATACAAGGTAGTCAAATTCTATAATTTGACAGTATACTCTAATGCCTGGCTGTAATTAACAGAGAACATATATTTAACATAAAGGCAATGACCAACAGTAATGATAACTGACATCCACAGGGCTTCTTTAGATTTTACCAAAGGCTTTCACATACGCAATTTCATTTGGCACTCACAACAGTATAATTATTATACACTTTTCATGGGAGAAAGGTGAGGCTTCGACAGGGTAAATGACTTCAGACAAAGTTACGCCACCTGTAAGTGGAGGAAAGGGGTCTGGAAGCCCAGGGTGTCTGTCTTCCTCCCAGCCCTCCATTTCATGTTTGCACTACAGTGGGCTTCCCGGAGATGCCAGTGTCTGGCCCAAGTTCATGTGATGGAGCAGAATCTCGATTTCAGAGGCACTGTCCAGACCGTCACCAGTACTGTGCCCTATCTGGAATACCTAACAGTTCCATTTATTCAGCAGCTATACTGAATGGTGTTCCAGGCAGAGCAGTGAGCCGCATGCACTGCAGGACAGGAGGCTGATGGCTGGGGACACTGCTAAAGATACTGCCGGCCCCTTGGTAGGGTTCGGGGGCTTTTTTAAAGTTCCAGTACTACTGAGGGGAGACGAAACTCCAACTAGTGGTTTCCTAGGTAGGGCCAACCCGATTTACTCTCTTAAGATAAAGCGAACCGCAAGATTGGGGCTGAGGGCTTCTGAGGGAAATGCGAGGTGTTTAGGCAAAAATCTGAAATTAAAAGAATATCATGTAAAGTACATGCAAGCTGAAAATGTGTACCTCTTCTTTTTGAGTCATGAGGGCTTTAGTAAAAATATCCAGAGCAGGTCTCAGAAGTCAGTCCGCTCTGAATTTACAGTTAATTTACAGTTTACTTGCTAATGTATGATTTGGAGAATGTCATTTCACCTCTCTGAGTCTCGGCATCCTTGTCAGTAAAATGAGGTCATAGGATAGTTGTGAAGATTAAATGGAAAAGCAAACGGAAAGCATGAGGGATAGAGCCTGGCAGGTAACAGATGCTCAGTAAGCGATAGCTACTTATCACGAATGACAAGTAGGTTTCCATGTACTGCGCCTAATAGCCACGTATTAATTAGGAGCTACAACCATTACCACCCACCAACTGCCACCGTTACAGCAGTATTCTGGGCATGAATGCTAACTCTTTGCAGAGCCATCCAAAAGGCTCTAGCCTGTAGGACAATTGTAGTAGAATGGGGAAGGAAGAGGAGCGTGAAAGCAAAGAAAATTGGACATGCCTAAGGCAGAAAAATTCACCCAAAGAGACCTTGACAGGAAACAGAAAAGAAACAGATGAGCCAACAATTGGTTAGTGGAAGGACAGGGAGCCGGGGTCGAGAAGAACAATAAACAACTTGGACCCTTTGAATGTACATTCCAAATTACGTCATTTTCTTCTGCACTGTGTCTCCAGGCAGTTGGGAAGATACAAATGTGTCATATTTATTTATAAAGCTTTATTGGGATTTCAAATAAATTAGAGTTGAATTTTATGAAGAAAAAGAAGAAGGGGAAAACAGCTGCAAGGGTGGGTTGAGTCCAAGATGGAAGTATTGATGCTAAAACTCTTTCTCGTATGGCCGACTTTCTGGAGATACAGATGCACGTGACAAGGTAATAATGCACATGAAGGACATGTGTAAATTCCCGAGGACCCTACAACATCAGCTACTATTATTACATACACAGCAGCATACACATGCCAATTTAGAAGTCCTGAAAACTGTTGAAATGCCAACCACAGGTGTGCTTTGATGGGCTGCCAGGATGGGGGTACTCACAGTGGCTGCAGTGTCCCGGCTGAGTGGCACACTATGGGACCGCTCCTGCGGGGATTTATCTACGCCGACCTCAGCGTAAAAGACCTGGAAAAGACACAGACACCAGGGTGAGACTTTTCCAGATCCAAGGGCCCCGGGTTCTAAGTGCACACACATCCACAGTGGGTTCCAAGGTGCCCTGCCTCATCTCATACATGCTACTCCTGTGACAGCAAACATCAGACACACAGCCAGGACCCCAAACGCACAAGCCTGCAGAGGCCAGGCAGAAAATGTGTGTCAGTGAGGTGTGAGGGAGAGGGCTGGACCCGGCTTCTGTTATTTTTCTCAAAACCATGAGTCTCAGACAATCTTTTATTTTTCCACTTTTTATGTGACTTGAATCCAGAAACACATTTCTCTACTTTAAGATGACAATAGGACAAGGGCATTGATAAATGGCAACTCTCTCTTGGTGAAAGGGTTACAGTAAGGGGCGATGGGTCTAGGGTATTATGAGCAGTAAAGGCGGCTGACGCCCCATCTAAAGTGGGCAGCTCAGCTCCGGCCAACTCAGCACCCCACAGGAATACGGACCCAGAGCAGCCAGCTCTCCCCATACTCCCAGAGATTTCAGAACTCTCCAAAGATTTGTCTGAAATCTTCTGACTTCTAAAAGCTGACTCATTTTTAAAAACACCGTTTAAAAAAAAACATTTTTGGTGAACTTCAGTCTAATTTTGTAATCTCTGATAGGTAGGAATGCATTCTCTCATCCCTCCTCCACTTTGCCTGCCCACCCCTTTACTTTAATTCAGATTTTACACTATTTTGTTCTTATTAACCACTTTCCACAGTGACTCCCTATTATTTCCCATGTTTCTGCTTTAGTCCCCAAATTTTACTGTCGGCCATTGGATACAGGAACCGGGCCTTACTTAGTTTACATTTTCCCATCCTCGAACACAGTAAGGACTGGGTAGATCCTAATTGACTTTCAAGTCACTTACGAACACCTTTAAAAGGAAAATATTTCCTCTAGTTTCACAGCGGGAGAACGGGGCAGGTATTAACATGAGAGGGCTGATATAAGGAGGCCATATCTAGGAGGAGCAAAGATGAGGATGACACACAGTTACCCCAACGCACCCACTACAGAAAGCCCCGTGACTAGGTACTCACAGTATACCCAATGATGGGGTGCCCAGGATGCCTCGGCATTTTCCACTGGATGCTGAAAGCTGTACAGTTCAATGCGTCCAGCATGATATGGAGAGGAGGCCCCATCTTGCCTATTTTGTTTTTGCCAAAACAAAAGAGATTGTTAGGAGCTCCATGTATCCTACCTTGAGTATACTTATACGAGATATAAGAAAGGGTGCTTACAGATGAAGAGCAAACTTAAAGATGATTCCACAGGCCAGAAACGCAACCATCTCTCTGATAGGCCAAACCTGTGTCAACTGACTTCACCCGAACTCTGCAATCCCCTTCCGACCCGGCACTGGTAAGGAAATCGGCCCAGGTGTTGCCCTCAGTCCCTTCTGTAACTTCTAATACCTCAGAGACCAGGAAAGGGAATTTTGGGGTACCACGGATCAAAACTTCCAACTTGACTCTTGGAACTTGGAATGGATTAAAGCAAGATGTAACATCTCTATGTTTTGTACATGTGTTATATAGATGTGTCTGTTTATATAGCTAGCATATTCCTATTGCACATTTCAAACTACAGTTAGTGTAAAATGGGTTAGAAATTTTCAAATATTTTATTGTATATTTACCTTAAATAATTTTTTTCATAAATAATAAACTTTATGTTTATAAAAACATGCACAGATTGCCAAAATTTAGAAAATACAAAAATTATGATGTCACCATTCGGAAATGAATCCTGTCAATATTTTAGCATTGTATGTCTCCTCTGGGTTACACGCAAATTTTTAAAATACTAGTGTGCATGCCTATATAATTTTAAATTTACCTTAAATAATTTTTTTCATAAATAATAAACTTTATGTTTATAAAAACATGCACAGATTGCCAAAATTTAGAAAATACAAAAATTATGATGTCACCATTCGGAAATGAATCCTGTCAATATTTTAGCATTGTATGTCTCCTCTGGGTTACACGCAAATTTTTAAAATACTAGTGTGCATGCCTATATAATTTTAATTTTAACTTACATATGATATATAATTTTTATTTTTATTATCGTATTCATTATATATAATAAATATATATTTATAATTTTAAACCCTGGATTCCCTAGGACAGTTCTGATTTTAAACTATGTCTCACAATTATGTCCCCTTGGAATTGTGATAATAATGGAAGCTACAGTGGCATCACAACAGGGCTTCACAGGATGTGATGATGACGGGCAAATGGCCCAGGCCAGGTCTCACACTATCTAGGGGAAGAGTGAGGCACCCAAGATCAGGGCCTTGGTTTCATGTTTTCGTGAAGATTCTAAACTAGAGCTGGTGTGGAAGCCCAATGCTCTGAGCATCCTGCCTTCCCATAGACTTACTAGCATGTCTCCACATACCAATTGGAAGATACATTTTTTTCTTTCTCAAAATTACTAACATTTATCTGATGCTACAATTATTATTCTTATTTTCATTTTCAGATCATTTTAAAAGAAGTAAAATAGGAGAAATATTTGCAAACCATGTAAAATGTAAAAGGAACTCATAGAAAATAGCAAAATACAAAAAAATCTAATTTAAAAATGGGCAAAGGATCTGAACAGACATTTTCCCAAAGAAGACATACGAATGGCCAATTGGTACATGAAAAAGGTGCTCAGCATCACTAATTATCAAGGAAATGCAAATCAAAACAACAATGAGATGTCACCTCACACCTGTAAGAATGGCTCTTATCAAAAAGGCAAGAGATAAGAAGTGCTAACAAGGATACAGAGAAAAGAAGATCCCAGAGGACTGTTGGTGGGAAAGTAAATTGGTGCAGCCGCTATGAAAGAGGATGGAAGTTCCTCAAACAATTAAAAACAGAACTGCCGCACGATCCGGTAATTCCACTTCTGGGTATTTATCCAAAGAAAATGAAAACATTAGCTCGAAAAGATATCTGCACCCCCATATTCATTGCAGCATTATCTATAATAGCCAAGATATGGAAACAAACTAAATGTCCACCAATGGATGAATGAGGAAGATGTTATATATGTTTATTATTTTTTATATATGTGTGTGTATATATATACACACATACATATATAATGAAATGTGATTTAGCCATAAAGAAGGAAGAAATCCTGCGATTTGCAATAACATGGATGAAGCCTGAGGGCATTATGCTAAGTGAAATCAAACAGACAGAGAAAAACAAATACTGTATGATCTCACTTATATGTGGAATCTAAAAAGACACAAACTCATAGAAACAAAGAGTAGATTGGTGGTTTTGGAGCAGTGAGGAGGAGAAGAATGGGTGGAGGTGGTCAAAGGGTACAAAATGGTTGAATGTATTTGTGGTTGAATATATTTCGAGGCTCTGTACTGTACTGAATACTTGAAAGTTGCTAAGAGAGTAGATCTTATAAGTTATCAGCACACACACATTTCACAATATATACACATATCGAATTATCACATCGAACGTCTTAAACTTAAGTGTATATGTCAATGATATCTCAATAAGGCTGGAAATTAGTTAATTAATTAATTGGGGGGGGTGGTAAAATACAGCTTAAACTCCATGCTCTATTCCTTTCCCCTTTTTTACTCTCTTCCAGAGGTAACAACCACTTGATACTAGTATCTTATCCACACATCAACTTATGTACTGATTTTATCTGCACATTTCTTCATTTTTACTGGAAATGACCTGTCCATCAGTAAAGGAATGAATCAACTGTCGTTTATCCATAGAATGCACCCAAATATTTCCCACCTGGACATTTCTTTCTTTAAAAAAAAAAAAAAAAGCGATCTGAGGGAAGAGAGGTGTCACTGAAGACCTTTATAAATTTTAAAGCACTATTCGAATATTAGCGAGCTTCTGATCTTCCCCTCATCGTGAGCCTAGAAATCATCATTCTTTGGTTCCTAAACCATTGCCACTTGTCCACGCGCATTTCAGTTTCTAAAATTTCATTGCTGCCATCTTCTGTGCTTCCTTTTGTTCTGCTCTTTCCCCCAATTTACAAGCATTTTAGTGGGGTTTTGAAGGACCGGTAAAAATGTTTATTCAATCCGCCCTGTTTCACCAGAAGTCAATTGATCCGCATAACAATGTGAGATAGAGGAGGAAGGCAGTATTCCCACTTTACAGAGGAAGAAACTGAGGTCTAGAGTCCGCTGAGGCAAGATCTTATCGATAGGACAGAAGGCAGGGACACTGCGAAACAAGGTGGAGATGTCCTTCTTCTTTCCATTTCTTAACGTTGGTGCTCTTGGTGATTCTGCCTAACCTCCTGTTCTCAGTTCCCACTACGCCCTGTCCTAGGTGCTCTCATCCCTGCCAGTTACGACTATGTACATGCAGGTGGCTCCCCACTCTGTTTCTCCAGCCCCAACCCTCTCTTTCAGAGGGGCAGGCCTAGGTACCCAACATGTGGGTTCAGATAAGTCAACATGTCAAAACCGAATTCATCATCTTTCTTTTCAACCTGAGCCCCTCCAGTAATCCCTGCCCTGGTAAATGGCATCATCATCCACTATGACTTCCAGAAACCTGGAAGTCACCCTCAGCACCAAATTGGTCGCATGGTATCTATCCTCTTCTATTCACGAAGGCCTCAGAATCCTCTTCAACCCAGTGCCTGGAGCAGCACTACCAATTGTTTAGAGCTGTGCATGTAGTGGAACCTATCTGCCATTTGTCAAGACATCCGCAATGATTTCTCTGGCCTTTTGAATCCTAAGAGATATAGTTTCTTCCCCACAGGTTCCATAGCCTGCACCTTAGTAAACTAAATAAAACTGTTTTTTTCTCCTGCAAAGCAGTTCAATGCAACATGAGAGTTGTTGGAGCCATAAGATTGGTGTCTTTAAAACTTCTGTGTAGGAGGGGTGTATGAATGGCCATCTGATTGGAGGAAGCACCAAAGACCTGATCTTAAAGCACATTTGCATGGTGAGCACAGCACTTTTCTCCTTGTGTGTTTGTTTGAAGTGTCCTTGAGGATAAGACAGGTCTCCAGCTGGGGGCTGTCTGAAGCTGTGTTTGCAGAGCAGGCACGCTGTTTTTACATAGATTGTATGATTATTTGATGTATATATGGAGAGGGGTAGGCTAACGGCAGGAGTTAGCCATCCAGTGCCTGCCCTCCCCTCCCCCAGCTGGAGATAGATTCTGGGCAGGGAAGTGTGGTGAACTCAGAAAAGCCAGAGAAACCACTGGGGGGAGTCTTTGACACATGGCCTGATGTCAGCTTAGGAGACAAGGTGACATTGGTATGTGGTCCAAACTGAGGTGAGCCAATCAAAGTATTCTCTAAATCTCTTCCAGCTCCTGAGTGAAAGACAAGAGTGAAACTAACTTTCCTCACATCTCTACAATTTCTGAGTCATCAGGAGAAAGTCTATAATCTTTAGACAGGATAAGTCAAACCCCAGTTACACTTTCCAAAAATTCTTAATGAAGCAAAGAAGTTTTGATAATGGTTGTAACAAACAGGTCTTCTGGAATTTTATGTTATAATATAAAAATATACTAGTGCTTCCTCAGTATTAAAAAAAAAAAAATCAAAGTCGTAGGCTGCTTACATGTGGACAAGATTTAAGCAGATAATACAAAAAAAAAAACAACTCATATTTAACCAACAATGGTTACAATGCTGAAAAACTATGTTACACAATAGGAAGCTAGTTTTGAAGCATTGTAGCCTTTAAAACTAGTGTAATGCATTTATACAATATATCCTGAAGCTCTGTTCTTGTAAGCTAAAAGCTATACTTCTTAAGAGATAAATAAAAAGTATGTTTCTTTGCCATGAGGGAGCTGTATTCTTGGGCTTTCTTCTTTGGAGGGCTTTCAAAACTGTATTAGGTTTTTGCATCAGAAACCTCTGAATAATTAGGTCAATTTCTTATGGTAATTTTATTTCATAAAATACTTCAACTTCCTGAGCAAAATTCATCTCTGATTCAATTAGTTTTGTGATCCAATTCATAAAAACACTTCAAAATGCAAATAAAAATATCATTTGTGACAGAAATACATTGCTAGCTTTTTAGTTATTTGATTTTCACGGAATGAACCAAGCTATATTCACTCATGTAATGGAAAGTGCTCAGACTAACTAAAAATAATC